AAGGTTATAAAGGAAACCCTACACTCCAAATCCTTATAAACCCGAAACCGTTTACGCCAAGTCGCGGCGTAGTCCTGACCTCAGATTATGAGCTGCGGGATCGGATAATGTAGGGGCCTTCATGATTAGAATAGGGTTTTGGGGGCTTCTGATCATAATTAAAATATACTAGACCCCCGCAACCCTGTTCTAAAGGGTTTAGGGTTTAGGGTTTAGGGCCCTAAACCCTAAACCCTAAACCCTATAAAGGCCCCTATATTAGGGGCCGTCCGGTAATCTTATTATTATCCTACCAAGGCACAGGGTTTAGGGTTCAGTGTCTTGGATTTAGGGCGCATGTACGGCGTAGTGTGTTGGGTCTGAGGCTTTGGGTTTTGGGGCTTAGGGCTTAGGGTGTTGGGTTTGGGGCTTCATCTTTAAGACAACTAGACCAGTGTCATAGAGGCATATGCAGACGAATGAGACCAATGAACAACACAAGCTGACAAATGAAGCCACATAGAGACGAAGAAAGGCAAATTAAGTCAACTGAAGACAAGCCCGGTCAGTAAATAAGGTGTGTTGATTTAGAGCGAAAAGCCCTAGGGTTTAAGCCCGGTGCTTGGGAGTGCGACAAAACCCTTCAGAACCAAAGGTTAAAGAATAGGGTTTAGGGCTTAATTGAAGGTTTAAGAGTACCTCAAGAAACAAAACCCTAAACCCTAAACCCTAAACCCTAACTATCTGAGATTGGTACAAGACTTGGCGTGAGCAGAATTGGGCTCCGTGACTTAGCGCACTTCAAAGCCAAACAAGCCCATACTGTTGATGATATACTTACTTCCCCAACAAGCCAGGGAAATACAAGGTTGAACTTTCAGGCTACTACTGAATTATAAGTGCCCAAGAAGTTTAAAAAGGCTGGGCCCTAAACCCTAAACCCTCAGGGTATTGGACCCTAAACCCTAAACCCTAAACCCAAAACCCTAAACCCAACCCTAAACCCTAAACCCTAAACCCTAAACCCTAAACCCTAAACCCTAAACCGAATCCTGCACTGCCCCTAGGGACCCTAGACTCGTATGCGACTCGGCTCTCTGGGTCTGCAACCCTAAATGGGAGCTAGGATTAGGGTGTAGGGGTTTAGGGTTTAGGGGGTTTAGGGTTTAGGATTTAGGGTTTAGGATTTAGGGTTTAGGGGTTTAGGGTTTAGGGGGTTTAGGATTTAGGATTTAGGGTTTAGGGGTTTAGGGGTTTGGTGTTTAGGGGTTTAGGGGGGCCCTTGGGGATATAGACCTTCTCAACAAGGTGCCTTTTAAGAGAGCCAAAAGTAGGGTTCAGAAGGGGTACCCTTTAAGGGGTACCCCTAATTATACTACCTACTAAACCCTAAACCCCAAACTCAACCCCAAACCCCAAGCCCCAAACCCTAAATTCTAAACCCTAAACCCTAATTCTAAACCCTAAACCCTAAACCCCAAACTCAACCCCACTCGTCCTAGCCAGGTGGGAGGCAAAAAGCTCAACCCCACTAAACCCCACACCCTAAATCCTAGTCCTAAACCCCACGAGCCCTAAATCTTAAACCCCACTAAACCCTAAACCCTAAACCCAGTCCCGGCCTGCCTCACAGCCTGAAATTTCATGACGGAAAACACCGCGCAAGGAAACTAAGCCACCCCAGAACTGAAGGGCTTTACACCTCTTGGGCATTTTTTGGCCAAAACCCTCGGGACGGTTAGTCTTAACTATTGAATCTCATTAAACCTTACCGAATCTTGCATTGTCCCCGAGATCCATTGAATGATACTGAGACAGCATTACACTTGTTGCAACCCTAAACCCTAAACCCTAAAGGGTTTAGGGTTTAGGGTTTGGGGGGCTTCACAAATGCCCAGTGATATCTGGATCCGGGATCAGGACGCATGTTTCCCGTCTCAAGGTCCCCCTGGGTCGAAGGTTCTAGCTCCCATTGTAAAACCAAAGCCCATGGGAATTATGGCGTGTTCCTTATATATCATCAACCCTAGTAACATTAGCATGCAGGTACGTATGTATGCATGTTTGCATATGTTCCCACATATAGTACAGAGAAAGCACACACAAAAAAAAGAGCAAAACTCTCTCTTGACAAATTCCCCGCTTTTGCTTAACCCTAAACTGGCCTTAAACCGTGAGCATCCACACCCATTGATCTGCAACTCTCAGTATTCTCCAATTGCTAGAAGTTCGAAATGCTGCTGGGAGGTTTAAGGCAGCTTTAATACTTACAAGTTTTTAGGCTCTATTTCTACGACCACAGCATTGTCGCTGTTGCAACTTTCAGGGCATGATGCTGGGAAAACACTGTCCACATCAACTTGCTCCTGGTGGGAAGTCATGAGAATGCATCGTTTTTGCAGCCCCTAAACCCTAAACCCCAAACCCTGAACCCTAAACATCCTGCCTTTTTCCGGATCCTCATTCCAGCTTTCTTGTATAAACCCTGACAGAGGAAGGTTATTTGGGGTTGAGGTGGGGTTAAACCCTAAACTCCAAGCCTAAAGCCTAAACCCTAGGCTTTCGCTGTCAGCGGCAAGACCTTGCGACAGCTAACTCTCTGTCTCTTACCAGGACAGAGGTCGGGAAGAACCCTAACCCTACATTAACCTACTTTTCTGCTAAATTGGTTCTGA